GCTGCTTGGATCTCTTGACCACCTTCCATTCAGAACCCTTTCCACTCAGGCAGGAATGACAAAACCCATATCCTCAACAAGCGATGTAGATGGCAAATGCATGCATCTGGCGTGCCTACATCACCACTATTCAGATGACACTGCAAAAATCAACCGGACAGGGCCCATTTGCTGTCTAGGGCTAAGTGAACCTGTAATTTTGGGAAGATGGGCTTCATCTTGAAAAGAGTTGTCTGTCTTGGCCACCCTCTTTGATTGCGAGAGACAACATTGACAAGCTTGTGAAATAAGCGGTCTGAGGCTCCTTCAGAAAGCCCGCCCTGCCTTCGTCATAATGGGGTTGCGGCGTACTGCAACGGTATTTGTTTGTGCAACAAAACTACACTGGGCTCATCTGGGCTTAACTTGTTTATATGAAACCTTTCACGCGTCCATGATAACAGTCATATAGAATTCATTGTCCTTTTGAGGAGCTTTAATAGAGGTCCAGCAACGCCTAAGTCAATGTGCACAGTGTTCGCATAAGATGGAGTATGCACATTCAAGTTGTTTTGTGTGCGGCCTTCTTTCCATCAAACTTGGTTCCAAACGGCTGTTTTCTTTCAGTCAGTTGTCACACAACTTCCAAGAAATCCTTCTTTTGGATAAAGTACAGGGCTGGGGACAAGCGTCCCAGTCTCTTGCCTGATACCCTTAGCCAGATTTGTTTTTGAGTCTCAATTGTCTATGACAAACTGATCTTGTTCTTTTTCCTTTGGCTCATTTTCTTGTTTGACTGAGCTGTTGCTCCGCTTCTGATTCCACTCACTTGGATCTTGGTATGTTTTTCCGTTTGCACATCTAGTAAGGGTTCCTGGCAACATGCCTACACGCGCTTATATCACTGACATAGCTTCGCACGTCGCGGATGAGAGGATACTTTCTGCAATTTGCTGAGTGTCAAAGATTCACTGCAAGTGAACCGTAGGAGCTAGGTTTGGTCAAAGCTGCCAAAGTTAAAATTGGCTCCGAGCAATGAGCCATGTGTTTACTTTCTCAAGGTGCGAGAAGCTTTTGAATTATCAGTGAAATCTAGATTCCCGGAAGATCTGGGCCTGGCCTAAGCCACGTCCACGGCCGGCGGCCTTTCCACGGCCCAAGACCTTGCCACCTTTGCCGCCTCTGGGCTTGCTGTCACCTTCCGAGAACTGATGTCGAAAAGCGAACACGTGGCCTGAAAAAGGTGCATCTTCCTTGCTCCTAGTAGCGATGCCCCTTGCTCCTAGTAGCTTCTTGCTCATAGTAGTAAGGCCAGAAGCTACTAGTAGCGTCCTTGCTCCTAGGAGTCTGGTTCCAGGAATCCAGCATTGTAATTGACAATTGGGAAGGCTCATCTACCCAGGCACTTCATCTTGGGTCTACAATCACATATGGCCCTGTGGCTGTCTCATGCACCATTGGTGCGCTAGGCCAGGCACCTGTCCAATCCTTCTTGATGACCTCATCCAGCGGCATCTCCACCCTGGCACAAACAACTGCTGCCAAGAACGCAAAAATGCACTTTGGTTGGCGTCCATTTTCATTCTATTTCTTGGCGAATACTAAAAAAAGAAAAAACAAAAAAAACGACGGACTTGAGAATGATCCGGCTGTATGCTTGCCTTTCATGACAGTTTCTTGTCTACAAACAAGCACGGAATGTGCCCAAGGTTGAGCCATCAAGAAACGCTGTTTCTTTGCTGGGTCTCCAGAGGCCAAGAGCCTCCACTTCACTTGAGGGAGAAGTTGCTATGTTACCCATTACCCATGTCAGGTTCATGTCTGCAACTCCGAGCTCATCCTGTCATTGGTCTCCGGCATGTTGAAGCACCTCGCTTTTCGTGTGGCAGGCTAAGAAACGGGAGGACAAAGCAAAATAGATTAACTAACTGGCAAAAGCCCGTCCCTGTCACCTACTTAGAGCAGATTGTCAGGTCATACCACCCCCTACAAAGCCCTACTATATAGACAACTTCTCACACACACACAGAGATCGTTTTTATATAGACAAGTAAAGACACCTTGCCGTGCAGTCTTAACCCAGACAGCCGGGAGCCAAGCACCAGAGGTCAGGGCGGTTGCACAACGAGCTACACAACTACAGCTTTCTTCACCGTTCGTTAGAAGCGGGAATTTATCTAAGATTGCTCTGTAAAACAACTTGCAGCTTTGCTCTTTCCGACCTTGTTGAGAGAAGCTGGAAAGGTTTGTCTGAAACAGTCCCTGCCCTTGGTTCATCCATGATAGCAAATGGTGTTGGTCCGTGTGCAAAACAAGAGAACAGTTGCAGTGAGTATCTAGTCATTGGTCACAGCTTGAGAGATTAAACTGCCGCCATCTCGGTTCCACGAGCAGGAGGACATCCAAAATGCCTTCACCGGAAAACAAGGGGCCTGGATTCTGGATCCTGATGGATCTGATGCAGCCCCCAGTTAAGAGTTCGATGTGTGTGTGTGTGTTGAGTGACATGATCACAGCCCCCAAAAAATTAGGTTAGATCATGGCAAACCCTCTTGGCAGGATGAGTGCAAGCTTTTGTTCAGCACACTTCAACACCGTCCCACAAACAAGAAAGCTCTTGGACGGGACAATCTGGTTCTGCATTGTATATTATGTAGACTGGCTCAAAGCACAAGTCCCAGGCATCCCACGCAAAGTCTGGCTCCCACTCCACAGCACTGAAAGTAAACCGAAACAACCCCTCAAGAGCTTCGGAGGTCGTTAAGCATTCTTCCAGAAAGCCCAGCTTGATGCCAAAAGTGTGTTTTGCCTGCAAGTAAAGCTGCAAGTAAAGAAAACAAGCTGGTACTGCGCAACGAAATCGCTCGGTCTCTGTGAGGACTGGTGCCCCACGATTTGTCAGAAGCTTGGGTAGCTGCTGTCACAGGAGCAATACCAAGTGGAGCCTCCACCCTAGTAGCGATGGCCTCTCTCAAGAAAAATTTCATGTCAATTTGGCCTACTCTTTGCCCTTCTCAATGAGCCTACAGCAGCACTTCAGTCGAGAATTTGTCAAACACTGTCCCAATTGGCTACATCTGGAAAATCAGTTTCCGGAGCGGCATCACTTCGCATAACCTCCAGACCCGCTTTCCACCAAGCACTTCTTGAAGCCGTCCTCCAACTCCTGCTGCTTGTTGCCCATGCAAAGCTTGCTTGCTGAGAGAGAGGATCGTCAATGAAGACTGGGAACAGCTCGTAAGACAGTTTTGCTAGCAGCTAGATTACTTCCAACAGCGACGAAAGCAAAAGAGTTCTCAGGACTGTCCCTTCTGATATTTAGGTCTTGACAAAACTTGTTCGTTAAGGGACCTGTGGGGGACGGTTCTCGGTGGCCGGTTTTTTTTCCCTTCCAAACAAGGGCCCACCCATGCCAACAATAGAGTGAATGCGCCAATGGGCTTGTTTTCTTTGCCAGAACAAACCATGCTCCAGCAAAAGCACCAAGGTATCCATTGCTTGTTTGAAGACGCGGTGCTAAATATCTCCCTCTTGGTCAATTTGGTGCTTCAGCAGACCAGGCTGTGCAGCTATCCGAAGCTATCCAAGGCGCTTTGCGCGAAAAGAGGCCATGGAGAGGGACAAAGGCGCACGCATACATTCTTCAATTTCTTACAGTGTCACTAGAGAGAAGCCGGTAGCAAAATACAAACGCAATCAATCACACGAGTGATTACCAGTCTTCTTGCTTTAACAAGAGGGAACCTTTGTCGCCCTCGAGGAAAAGAGGCCATTGCCAGAGAGGCCAAGAGTACACAAACTTGAAGGCAGGGCTGGCAGAGCTGGCAGGGCTTGTGGGTTTACGCAATCTTAGAGCCCGAACTGTGAGATTCCATCTGACTTGTACCCTCTTCAAGTTTGCCAAATCAGGTCTCAAACCAACCTGATCAGCTGAGCTGGAAGGCTACTGCAACAGGGCCTCTTGGAGATGATGGGTTGCTGTCAGCAGGTGGCCAAATTTGAGAAGTGGTCAACTCAACTAGGCTGAACGATGCAGAATCCTCACCAGACGCGTTCCCTAATCCTCTACCAGGGCGGAGAGTACTTTTTCAGCAGCAACTGCTCCATCGCTTCGATTCACAAGGAAAGCTACTACAACCTTGGCTCTCAAATGCCATGATTAAAAAGCAATGAAAGCTGAACAGCTTTTCTATCACAGCCGCAGCTGAAAAAGCTTGAACACAACCTGACCCTACACTCTCAACATTCACACCAATCTGCTGGGCGCCCCTGACCGGGCGAGACCGGCGCTGCAGCAGTACCGCAAAGGAGCCATTGCAGGCGCTGTGTCCCAACGCTTGATGGCCATTTGGCCTCAAGTTCTTCGTTGTGTTCTTCATCATTGTTTTTATCACAAGAGAAAACTCACAAATGTGCGTGCCCAGTGACAGTCGTAGCATTTGAAGGCCCAAGCCCCACCTCAGTGCGTCACGACGGTGCAAAATCTAAATCTTTGCTCGGAGACTCAAACGTTCCGACCAGTCGAAGGGTTCAAGGAAGCTTCTCGAACCCCTTCGCAGTCGGAGAATCGTGAAGGAGCCAGGCCCCACATCCCCCAGTGCACAGTAGTACACATCCCGACGGAAGAAGACACACCAGTTCGGAAGAATTCACCTGCTCAAATCGTGCGCGCGTTTTTTCGACAAAAGCGAAACCTTTTGGCGAAGCAAATAGCAAAAAAGTCTGAGTCCTCGAAGATTTGCCTTCGCGCAGCACTGGTTGAAAGAAACTTAATATAGGATGCTTTAACATGTTCATGAAAAGCTGCAGTACCTCCAGCACAGCATTGGTAAACAGGAATGCACAACTTCAATGCCAGATCGAGCGAGCACGAGCTAGAGCCATTCACTTGAATTTACTTTGAAGAAAAGCAATGGACAAGCAATACTCCTCACGTCCTTGCTCCTTGCTAATATGTTTGCTACTAGTTTCTTACACTACGACAGCTACCTCTGCTACCCCTGCCACCCCTCCTGGGGTTATTACTGCCTCCCCGGAAATGACTTTTCGTGTTTTGCACTGTTTGTGGCACCTCTAGGGCCTTGCTTCATGTGAGGTGTGGAGCCGATCAGACAACTGGGGAACCCGGGCTCAGCATCCTGAAAGCGCTCCAAATGGTGAGGCAAACGGCACGGCTCTGAGTCAGGACCTAAGGGAGCGCCGTGATGCCGTGCTACAAGAAGAGTAGTAGTGCTCAATTAAGCATTCCAGCAATTCCCTTCAAAAGAGCAGAATGGAATATTCCGAAAACAACACCTTCAATCTCCAAGACACTCCTACCGCATCTTAAACGCCATCTGCTCCGTGAAAAGGCCAACAAACCAACATCGTCACAAACGCACAACCGACACCAACATCTGCCCTCAAGCCGGCCTTTCTCGGGCTTGCGAGATCGCGAGGCTTCCCGCCACATCCGTTGTGAGAGGGCCTGCCCTGCCGCCGCGGCTCGCAGTGCCTTTGCCGTGTCCTGCCAGACGAACAACGCGGAGCAAGCAAAGCTGGGTTGATTTCAAGCTACCTGCGTCAAACATCAAGCCCAGGACAAGTTGCAGCTACAGGGCCAGTACCCTGCTCAACTGTGCCTTGGCAGTTGCAAAGCCTTGCCGCCCAGGAAGCACGCTGGTGCGCGGAAGATCCCGATTCAAGGCAGCAGGATTGAACCAATGCTCTCGACCTCAACAGCTTTCTTGGGCGCCCAGCTTCACACGGGAAGCTGCTTCTTCAAGTCGCAAAATTGGTGAATTAAAATGATCTAATCGCAGAACCCAGGGCTTGTGCAAGCATCTGTCCAAAAGGTGGCGCTTGTGGCTTTTCTGTTGGTGGACATTCAAGTATATTATATAGTAACTTCTGCTGTATGGCATCTTCCATCTGGTACACACAAATAACAAAGTTCGGCTTGGGCGTTTGATGCTGCTTTGATCACATGGGTTGCTTCGTTTAAGAGTAGCCAAGAGAACAAGCAAAATGCAAGAACACACGTGTAGACTCTAGGCTTATCAACTTCCATGACTGAAATCAGCGTGCCACTACGGTACACAAATGGCATAGTGAAGTCAGTTGCATTGCTCCGCTGAGGCTGGAGCCAAAGAAGCTCATCCACATGCCATGCTCCGCCTTCTGCCCCTTCGTGGCATTCTTGCTGCGTCCACGATTTGTAGCGTCGACAAAGTGCTCAAACCTGAGGGGTCACTGCAAGATCAGCAAGTGCATCGCTACTAGTAACAAGTGTATTACTACTAGTAGCAAGAAGCTACTATTTGTAGCTTTTTGCTACTAGTAGCGATGAGATCGGGCCTCCACAAAACAGGGTCAAACCTATCGACGCAGCTTTGGGAATGCTGTGTGGCCATCAAGAGAAAAGTCAATGATTTCCTCAGAAAGGCTGTGAAACTACTTTCTATCGTTTCGACCCAGAAGCCTCACTTTGACAACCACTCCCTACCTCCCGCCACAGTAGACGACGAGGCACTCTTCCATCCGCTTGCCCAGGTCCTCATAGCAGCCAGGAACCGCCCCCGCGTTCAATACTTACCAAGAAGTTCCAAGTTGCTCGAAGACGGTGAGCTGATGTTTTACCACGGATTCCAAGCGTTTCAAAGTCACTCAGTTTCTAGATCCCAAAAAGGGGACCAGCTTCCGGTCTTCCCCCTCGCACACCGAATCTCCGCTCCTCCAAGCTTGGGCTCCTGTTGCATCCGACAAAGGAAGCCAACAAGAACAGCAAGAACGTCATAGTCTCGAAAAAAGAATGAAAGTAAGGACCCCTTCAATGAGTGTGTGTGTGTGTGTGTCAAAGCGATCTGTGGACATTTGCTTACAAAAAGCACTGCTTCAAACGCACAACAGAGATTTCAAGGGCAGCTTCATCAAATGCTTCAGCCTACCTCATTTGGGAGACCGGTTGAGCACCAGAGGGCGGAGAATCCAACAGGAGCCGGGCATTGGCCTGGACAGTCAGCCCCAGGATAACAGTGCACCTCCACAGTGTGAATTAAGCCCTCCAACAGCCCTATTAAACCAAGCAGTTAACAGTTAACAGATGTTAACAGCCCTATCAGACCTACCAGTCAATCACTCATCCAACTCCTTTCCTCACCTGCTTGATGAGAGCAAAACTATGCAAAGAGCTACCACTTCTCAAAAAAGCTAGAAGAATGTACCGTGCTTTTGCGAGGTCCGTGAAACAGCTCTTGCCCAGGCCTCGTCTGCAAACCGTTGCCATGCTGTTTCCAGGCTGGTTCCTGCCAGTTTACAAGCCTCATGCACCAAGAGCCCAAAACTCGTATGTTCATACCTCAGCTCCCATGCTCAGTCATTCTGGTGAACTCTTGAGGCCAACTTGTCCTCGAGCCTCATTCCATCCGGCCCTCGAAACTTTCACACGTCATAGTAGTTCTGGATCAGCTTGAATATTAACCAGAAAAGGTTGAGAAACTTTACAGCCGAACTGCAGGAGAAACTGCAATGAGACGATGCGGGCAAATACTGTTTGACAGCACGCTGGATTGGTGCATCCAAGTTGCTGCTGTCTCAGACCTGCAACACTGGAAAATAAACACGTGTGTGGATGCGTTCATGTATTTCAAGAACTAGTAACTAGTGGCCATGACGATAAGGGTCTGCGCAAATCATGTGGTAGAAGAAAGCTTCTAGACCCCTCGAAACCTCACAATCAAGAAACTGTAGTTGTTGACACCAAGGAACCAAAGCCTTACAAGTAGCACAGCGAGCCTGGTCCCAGCAAAGGCTCTTCAGCCAACATCTTTTCCGCCAGAACCTCACTGTCACAGAACTCCCTGAAGGACAAGTCTGAGCTGCCTGGCAGCGACCAATGGGGCTCGCCAAAACACCAACTAGGACGATTGACATTGAATATTCCAATTTTTGTCTGACGATTATATTACTGTACAATGCAGTAGAATGCAATATAATGCATTAAAATGATCACAAACCGCAGCTCAAGAACTCACACCAACCCGCTTCTGTCCGGCCTGGAGCCAGCTTTAAGTGGCCAGACCTCAGGATATTGGTTGCAACAGATTTTGAGAACAGCACCTGATCATCCGCTCGTGAACGGAATAGCACCTCCTGAATACCCAGCTTTCCCCTGCTTTCCCCTCTCTGCCAAATGGCGTGTGGCTCAGTGCGTGTTCCAGCAACACCTGGCAAAAACCAAGGAGAAAAACAGGTCAACCAGCTCCTTCCCATTTGTTTTGCGCTGAATGAGGGGTATCAGCATCATAAGTGTAAAGTAAATGACGACATGTCGCAACTAGGGAGCAAAACATAGCTAAGCCCCTTTGAACCTGTGTCCATGACTCATGACCGTCATGATTTGCATGAGCCAAAGTTGACGACGAGCAAAAAAGCGAAAAGTCAAACACGACTTACTCTTTCGTGGAAGGGTCACGAAACTTTGTCCCTTCCCATGGCCACCTTGCCCATCGAGCTCTCTTGCAGCACAGCTCTTAAGGAGACACGGCCCTCATCCACCAGCCCCAACACCTGAGTGGGAAAAGGGTCACAAGAAAAAAGAGAGTCAATGACTCAATGATAAAATACTGAGATGGCCTGCAGCGCTATGACACTATTGACCAACATTCCATGCATTTGATGAGCAAAGGCACGCTAAAGGTCAAGAACATCTTGGAGATCTCCAAAATATTGAATACGGTATTGCATGTGACCTGAGTAAATAAATGCACACATAGAAGTCAAGCAAAAGATGTTGTCTCATCTGATTGCCAGCAGCATAGAGTGTGGTCAGAGCTGCTAGAAGTGATTGTTTCTCAAATGTATCTTGCACATATGATAACACGGACATAGACCAAAACTTGCATGGCCACCCCAAATACACGCACATGTGGGTGAATTGGTCACCTGGTTACCTGCAGTAAGGCATCAGCTGGTTGACAGGACTGAGCCGAGACACTGGCAGTGGATTTAGCCAAGAGCAGTGTCCCAAAGCTAAATCTGCCAAGACATCACCTGAAAACGCATGAAAGGTAACCCATGTTTTCCGTATTTTGGAACCTGCACTATAAACTTGCGTTGTCCGGGCGATGGCAGTGATCAAGCACTAAGCAACATACACTGGGGTGCCAAAAGTTGCGCTTCTTGACTTCTAAAACATCACAAACCATTTCCCCTTAGAATCCTACGTGCAACATGTCGACGCCTCAGTTGCGGTCAGATTTCCACACCTGAAAGCCTTATAAATATTTAATATAAATTTAGACGGGTGTGGAAATCTGACCGTGCTGTACCTGCCACGCAAAATGGACGTGTTAATCCGATCCGCTGTAGACCGCAAGTGTCATGTTGGAACAGAGTAAGAAGCGTAAACTTTAGGGTTCTTGAAGTATACAAACAACTGTATCCTTAGCTGATTCATGTTGATTCTATCCTAAAACTTTCTGAGAAAAGAACCAAGCCCCCGAGCTGGCCGGCCCATTTCCCCATTTCCGCAGATTCTGGTTTCGCCGGCCTGTTGCCAGATCCAGCACGCAAAGTTGCGCACCCAGCAAATGCCTTCAGAAGCTGTGGCATGCCGAGGCCTTCTTGTGATTCTTGTTCTTACCCAGAAACAATTTGAAGGGTTCTCAGACAGGGCTTATCATGTCCCAGTTGTCTTAGAGCGATATACACCATGTCTGTCTGGGGCTGCTCCACAATCACAACCCACTGTACACAGCTGCGACTTACCATAGTCAAAGCGAGACAGCTGTGGACCGTGGAGTGGATATCATGCTGATGCATGCACATATTGACTGCTCCTTCAGCCAAAGGTACCCATCCGCGTGTAGAGCCCTCAGCAACCCTGACAACTTGGAGACAAAGGCAGGATCGCCAGAGCCTCGAATCAGGATAGAGGTTAAGTACAACAGTCAAGACTAGCTTGAAAGCTTCGACAACTAGGGGTGATTGGTGATGCTGATTCAAACACGGAGTGCAAAAAGACAGCATCAGCTTCTCCAGAAGAGAGGCTACAATCGCATCCAGCCGTGACTTTCCTTGCGAGGGCTGGGATTGCCCTTAAACATTCCGCTTCCAAGTCAATCCGAGGATCCCAAGATTTGAGGCGCGATGGGAAGCTTCAGCGTGAAACTGGTCATACTTGGCTGCACCTTCAGAACCAAGGGCACGTTCCGAAACAATGCGTCTGCTTCTTGGAAAATACTTGTGGGCCGAAATACTGTGATATAGAAATATATATATATATATGTATGTATATATATATAAGGGTATACATGTGTATAAGCCTTCCAGTGATACTCAACGAACTGTGTGAATTTGCACCTTCACATTGCTATGGCCCAGCTCTTTCAGCAACATGGGATAGCCGTGGCACACCTGAAGCTCACGCGCTTGATTTTCTGGAATACCATTAGAAGCAGAAGTGTAAAGCAAGCGCGTCTCAAAGACACTTCCTTGAATGAAAGTCACCTAGGCCAAGAGGTCCAAATGGGTACTAAGTACTACAGCATAGCTTGTTCCGCAAAAAAGGCACCAGGCCTATGGAAAAGACTACTCCGACTCCAATTTGTACTTAAACCGAATAGCCCATTGATACATCAGCACGTTTGTGCTGGTTGTGGTTCGTTGTGAAGTTGTACAGCAAAGCCCTCTAATGGGTGATGTCAAATCATGGAGCCCGAATGCTTTTCAAGGCCCACTCTTGGGGAGCTTTTGGATGACGAGGTCATGTCTGTTTTGGCCGTGAAGGGTTTTGCTCAAAACACGCACACCCTTCACCAATACGCTGGACTCAAAGTCCTCAAACCAAACACATTCCATCTCGGGGGTCCAGGTCTCGCATGAGTATTCGGTGCTATCATACACACACAATAGACTCTTGATAGAAAGCAGCTCTTGTGCAACCCTTGTCCTGTTGCACCTTTAAATCGGGATGTGTGGGTGCTAATGACAGGCAAATCGGTGTGCATTCCAACAACAATTTCGTTGGTGCGAAGAAATGGCACTATTTTATCGTGCCTGCCACCTCCATTGAAGAAACTGGGCTCTTTGGTGGAATTGCCTCTGCCTCATACCTTGTCAACCAAACTTGTTGCACGAGCGGACTTACTACTCTTCATGGAGACCGGGTCGTCGAAGTCACCTTCGTGCCGGGCTGCAAAGAGATGCATGAGGGGCAAAGAGACCTCTAAGCGGCTGGAGACCTCGAAGAGCAACGAGACCTCGAAGAGTTAGGGTGAGCGTTTGCCACATGCTCTGCAAGCGATCCAAGAATAGAACTAGCCGAACTACCTCTGCTGCAAATCTCTAACGTCTAATGTACCCAGAAGTCAAAAAGATCCCAAGAGCGCAAAAAGCTGCATGCAGGCTTTTTCCAATGCGCTTTGGTTGATGCTGGGGTCCTCCCCCAGACCCTGTATCTCTTGGTCAGTTTCAAAATGCCCTGGGCTTCGCCAGGGGGACAAGGGTGTGTCACGCAGTAGGATTTGCCCACCGCTGCCAAACACTCGAATGTCCCCTGGTCCTCCCAGGGCCAATGGGCACCTGTCGAGGTGCCAGGGGACAGGGTCGGGAGGACAACCCACCGGATCCGGTCACGGGATCTTGGGTGGGCACCTAGGAAAATCCCGTCGAGGACAAAAGTCTTGTGGCAAAAGGAAAAACGAAGAGAGTCCCCGGGGCCGGTAGCCGGCAATCTAAGGAGAACCCTTCAAAGTCCGGATGAGTCAATTCGTCCGCCCAGGTATTGTATTCCCTTGGGACGTGATTAGGGGCAATGCTACAGCCCTCACGATGAAGGAAGAGAACCAGTTCCATCAGCAGTGCAGCCGAGTAAGAAGGTTTCTTGGCCGAGAGGTTGAGCAGGCTGAAGATGTTTCCTGGGTTGTCGCTGCCAACCGGGAGACGAACTCGTCCCAGAAGCTGGCCCTGTTGGGCCACCAGATGCTTGCAGAGAAGTAGAGTGCCCAGAAGTTCCAGGGCAGCTATGCGCTTCTGAGGGTTGCCATCCTTGAATGCCAGGGGGCCTGGGCAGAGCCCGGATCTCTTTGGAGAAGTCTGCCGCCGATGGGTAATTGTGATGTCCTTTGGGGTCCAGTGGCGCTTCCACTGGGTCTTCCCCCGCGAGTTCGCTCTTGAGGGCCACACTCCCGGGAGGAGAGGGTGGGGACCGAGACCCCCAGAAAAACGCTCGTGGCAACCGTCTGGTGTAGTGCGTTGGTGGCCAGGATGGAGGACCTTGTCTGATGTCCTCCGGCCCCGCACTGGAGGCGCATCAGGGGATCATGGATCGAGAGATCCTCGGAGATGGGATCAAACTTGGGGCAGTCGGACGACACCGTACTGGTATGCCACGTATCCTCCACAGTGGCAGGGAGAGTGGCCGCCCTGGCGGCGGTGCTGCCTCTCCGAACCTCTTGGAAGGAGGGTGTTGGTCCGGATCCGCGGTATTCGGGTGGGTGGGTTTTGGGGGGACCTGGAGGACCTTGGCGATGGCCTGAGCCAAGCCTATCATCATCTTGGTCAGGCTAACGGCTGAGGTCACTGGATTGGAGGTCCAGGGGTTGGTGCCCAGAGTGGTTGCAGCGAAGGTCCTGCCAGTGGTGCAATGGGAGGTCAGTCGATAGGGTGGTGGCCTTGACCACCATCTGGCCCAGTCTACCGCTCGGGTCACCCACAATGGGGAGCACTTGTGCGCTTGGGGGCTGGCACTGACCTCCATGGGGTCCCGAGGCCCCACTCTCGGTGGGTGGCACTGGGAGAGGCCTTGGTACGCCAGTGAGGTCAAGTACATCTGGCGGAGCACCAGCATGCTGTCATTGTCTGTGTCAATCTGTTCCTCCGCAGTGTTGGAGGGGAGGCCCCACACTTGCTGCTCGCTGCGCCCCCTCACTGGCCTAGGGGCGTTGGGCTTGGGGAACCATCGGAGGATGCTTCAGGTGCGACAGTTTGGGCCTCCCCCAACAAAGAGGAGTAGCCCCGCAACAGCAAGGGAGCACAGGTGGTTCGATAAGGGTGGCTGGAGCATGTCCTGGCCAAGAGGCCCCTTGTCCCGTCGAATGTCAACCGCCCAGATCAAAGGTGGGAGATCTGGGCACGTAGCATGAATGTAGGAGTCCAGAGAGCCCGCGTCTGGTTGCGTTGTCCGGCCAGGGTGTCATGCGTTTACCACACATGGAGTGGAAGGGCATGTCCCCTGCAGGCCGGTGGAGGAGCTCGATGCTCCGTCAGGCCGGACTTGTCGGTGGCCTTCTGATATGTCTGTGTCCAAACCCTCTCCTGCATGGCCAAGGCCCGCAGGGGGATGTACTGCTCAATGATGCGACTGACCACCGGCGTGGAGAGGGGGTAGCCCGTGAACTGGTCAAAGAGCTGGACCATCTCCTTCTCCGCACACGCGGTGAGGAGCCCAGCCAAGTGGCCCGGGGTGGCCGGAAAGGCGTCCTGGAACATGGCAAACCGGACGTGGTTCTCCGGCTCCCGTACCGGGATGAACCGGATCGGCATAGGAATCGAAGCCGTTGTCGCTCCTGAGGCCCTCGTGAAGCCCGGCAAGGTAGGTGTCTTGGATGTGGGTTCCTCCATTGGCTGTGGAACCGGGGGGGTGCAGAAGGCGGGTCTACCGAATACCCTGCCGGCGCAGGGGGCGTAAAACCTAGGCCCGCTCTCTCACTGTTGTCCTCCTCCATCTGCTGAGGTGGTGCCGCTGGCCACCGAGACAGGCCAGGCCAATGGTGGTTCCGCCATGGTTGTCAAAAGCGCAGGCGCGGCCTCCGCTGCAGAAGGTGTAGTAGAGCTCGAGGTCGGTGCCACCGCAGCAGCAGGCGCAACCCTCCCCGCAACTGGGCCAAAGGCACCAGGTGCAGCGGGAGGGTTGCCAGCGCCGCCATCAGCAGGGTCGCTCAGCCCCAGGAGGTCCACGCCCGTGTCCGCATCTTCTTGGTTGGCTATCTGGACCTTGAGTTCCTGCATGCGGCGCTCCAGCTGGCAAATCTGCTCTTGAGCGTCCAGCTCGGAGACCAAGACAGGCTGCCCAAAAACGGCAAGTCCACGAGCCCCTTCCGCCTCCGCATGACGGAGGGCTGTAGACGCAGCGTCCGCTGCCTGGTCCAAACTCTCAATGCCCGGGCTACTGACCGTAGCCGAATCCCCATCGTCTGGTTGGGCGTCTCTGAACGACTCAATCATCACATACTCCGCTTCCATCGGGTGCGCCATTGCGTCGCGCTCAACAAAAACCGATGTACTGGGGAGTTTCTTCAAAAGTTCAGGTGCAATCCTGTGGATGATTGCCACCAACTTGAGCCAAAATGTCCCGGTGGGACATTTTGTGAACTTCAGTGAACATAAAACTTGCGCCCGCAAGCTACATGCAAGTGTGAATGCCTTATTGGCAGTTCTTCTCATCTCATGACTCATCTCTCTTTCGACCCTATCTCACCAGACCTCATCTGTTCGCCTACAAACCACTACAGTTGAATGGGGCTCTTGCTCTGTCCTTCCGGGCGCTGTCACATCTCATTGCAGAGTTCTTTTGGGAAAAAGACTTCACACCAACCTCAGCCTCCAACCTAATAGCAAAAGGAGCCTACAGTAGATGGATCAAATATTCAAGCCCCCTCAATCAATGACTGTCACCAATCCCCGACCCCCAAAGGTCAATGTTGAACACGACTTCATTGAATTTGTGTTGCCAGGGTTTGATTTGCTTCGTCCATTCGCCGAAACACTCTGGCAGGCTCGCTAACGTTGAGTCTTGGGGTGGAAGGGGTCCAAGCGGTTTGAAGGGTTTGAAAATTTTGTCCATCTACGGTAATAACTTAGTAGCGATGGCCTCCGACCTACTGGCGATATAGCCTCCAACCCAATAGCGATGGCCTCCCAATTTAGCTGCTTGTCAAGCTACAGTCTTTGTCAAAGGCATCAGCGGACCCTTTACAATTTGTTCACCACCTGGCAGGGAGGTGATAGTCCTCTGGGACATTTGGTGGTACTGAGGGATGTCAAATTGAAGCATCACCTGCGGTGTTATATTCCTGATGTTTGTGCACTCGTCCTCTGGCGGTATGCTTTGAAGCGCTTCAAATCCCTTTTTTGAATGAGATGTCAACCAATGAGGTTGGCGCAACCTGCAGGACAGCACTTCTTCGGATGTGAATAACTGGGCAAGTCCATTCTTGTTGCTAGTAACAAGTGCATCGCTAGCTGTAACAAGTGCATTACTACTAGCGGCAAGTAGCTACTAGTAGCTTCTTGTTACTAGTAGTAATGCCTTTGTTACTGGTAGCGATGCACTTGTTACTAGTAGCAATGCCCCTGTTACTAGTATGCATGCAAAATCCATTTGGAAAAATTACTTTTCGGAGGGGTCTTGCGATGGATTCCAAGATTCGAGGATTTAGCAACAACGGAATCTGTTCATCAACCTTTCGCTTCGTCGATCAATGCCAGAAGTGCCAAGTGCCTCTTTGAATGGCTTTGGTCTCACCATCCAGCTTCCCAAAGACCTGTGAGGCTGTGATATTAGTGTAAGCATCAAAAGCACCTCCACTTGTGAAAGGATATCATTTGTCCAGGAAGTTCTTCCTACTCCCCTAGTTGCCTCCCTTGCGTCCTAGCCCTGACGAAAAACAAATGTAAAAACAGACATACATACAGAGAGAGAGAGAGAGAATATTGAATTTAAAAAAACTAGAGAATATACTGTAAATGACAAAAATATAACAAAACCACATTTTAAAAAGAAAACTAAACGAAAAGACACAGACAATAATTGTAAAGAATAAAAATAAACAGAATATAATGTAAACAAATGATCCGCAAGCATCAAAGCATCACTTGACGCCCCAGTTGACCTGCTCCAGCTGCTCAAAGTCCGCGCGGGATTGGGCAATCGGCCGCGAGTCACGCAGCAGGAAGCCTGAGAGCAAACACCCGAGCAGCCGAAGTTGAGTCCAAAAAGTCACAATCTGTGGCAGGGCAGGAAAGAAGTAGACTCTCTGAGACATGTTGGGACAAGAATACCTTTCCCTGTGTGCACATGCAGACCGGCAAAGGCAAAACCAAGGGCTTGCTGTGTCTGTTTTGCATTGGAAGATCAACCCCATTTGAGCTCTGTAGAGCCCAAAATCACGCTGGTGCTTTTGGATGAATGGACATGCAAATGTATAAGTGATGTCGAGCCTAAAGGACACCTGACCCATGAATTCGCTGATAGGCAATGCCGTCTCAAGTCCAAACTGGAAATTATGGGCTAGAGGAAGCAGCATAAAAGCATCTTGTGCGATGGCTTGAGGTAGAGCTCCAGCGCACTTTGCTGCTTTCTGATTAGTGCAGCCGTGCCACGCAACGCTCCAATCATGGCAATGGGTGTAGCATCGGGTCTTCCGTCCAGGTCACCAAACGAAAAGTTCAAGGCGCGGCAGCCTGCCCGGTTGGAACCCCACAAAAGGGGGTAGGCCGCTGATAGGAAGAGGTATATAGCTAGTAGCTTAAGTAAGCTTCCAGGTAGGATGCAGGATAGCTCACGCTTCTTCAAGGAAGCTCCCCTCAGCTGTTTCGGCCCAAAGCCGGGCAGCTCACGCGCTGGCACGCGCCGGGGCCTGCTGCTCCTCCTCAGGGAGGAGGGTAGGTGTCGATAGAGGCGGAGCCCTGTGGTGACGCCAGTGCCATGGATACTAAGGACAATGTGGTTCATGCTGAGTCATTGGCAGCGAGAGGGCTTATTGATTGGGCTATCATGGGCCTTCCGTCCACTCTGGCTGAGACGGTGCGCACTGCGCTTGTGTCACCACTGGAGGATGTCGCAATGTTGATCAAGATTGGGTGCTCTTTGGTGAAGTGGTTGAAGTCAGTGATGGCCCTCCGTTTTCTGCTCAGCTGCGACGTGTTTCTTTGCTGTCTCCGCAGGTTGATCAAGTGGGTGAGCAGTGGGCAAATTTTGACCTCATTTGTCCCACAGTTCACAGACGAGTTGATTTTACACCAGGGATGCTGCCTGGTGTGTACACCAAACCGTCCAACCGACAGAGCCACACCAAGGTGGTTGCAGACACTACAGTCCCCATCTGGAATATTTCTTCCTTTGATCGGTGCCTTGCGTGGAACGCTACCCACCTTTTTGCTGGAGCGTACGAGGGCTGGTTGAGAGCGATGTGGTGGGTGCAGCAGGCGAACCTGGGACTAGCATTTGCAACCCACACCTCGGTTGATTGGTGTCCAGAAGTCATGAAAACCTGGGGCTTCAATCATGGATTGTCTTTCATGACCTGTCCAGTTCCTGAAACCTACAACTCGGTGGAGACCTTCAATGGCTTCCTTGCAGATATCAGTGATGTGACCCTTCTCAGAGCCTCTTCGAACAAGTCCAATCTGCTGACGACCCTCTCCCAGCTGGAGCCGAGGGGACAAGCACTCTGGTCTTGCAACAGATGAAGGTTTTTGCTTCCTGGATGCGATTGAACACGTATCTCGGGCGCGGCCAGTACTGGCCTTAGCCCATCCACATTGGAGGGTCCTTTCCGCTGCCATGCAATTGGCGGGTTATTGCAAGCTATGGTCGCAGGATGTCGCTATCCACCAGCTCACCTCCAACCACCGCACCCGGTGGCTTGCAGTGTGGTCCAGGCACGATATCCCATGCCAGAAGCAGCGTGAGAGGTTTGTTTGCGCCATCCATCGACGATTGAGTTGGGACGATAACAAGCATCAACATGCCCTCCCAAGTGCCTTGGCTGATGATTTGGTTTTGCACACCCCTCAAATGCAAATCTATGGGGATCGCAATTTGCTGCCACCGGCTAGAAAAGTCCGGGTTGGTGAAGACGCAACTATCCAGCAAGTCCTTGCACAGCGGCTTGCTATGCAGGGAGAATATTTACCAACCTTATGTGCCTCGTACACAGCCCAACGCTTGCTGCAAAAGGCGCACATTGAGTCCAAGGGCATCTTTGCCACTCTGACACAGCGAGATGATTGTTTCAGCTTCATTGATCCTTTCGTATTTGTGACTCTGTTTGGGACAACTGATTCTACTGCCCTGCCAGTTGCACTTCGGACAGCTTTTCATCAGCTTGGAAATGCGATTTCTCAGATCCATGCTTTGGTAGCTGTTCTTATTGCCATGGAAGGGGTTTCAGGCGAGCCCTTTCAGAAGCTCTCCCTAGTACAGCAGTGCTGGGAGGGTCGACTCAGTTCCGACAAGGCGATGATCAGTCTGTGATGACATGTATATGTCCTTCAACCGATGGCGGACTTTGTGGCAAAGGCAATCCCCAGTGTAGTTACATGGCAGCCATGGTTGGTAAACCACACCTTGCTTAGGTTCTGCGATGATGCAACTTTGATTCCTCTCAATGTCTCGGAGACACCAGGTGTGGTTGCCCAGCTTCTATCCAGCTTGGATCTTGCGGATCACCATGCTCACCTTATTCATCTCTCTGGTGATGGAGGTGCCCTGCCGAGTGATGTTCCATGGAGTGCGTTACCCATGGGGGACCTCATTGTGAAGTTGGGGTCTTTGGACCTTTGCACAATCCGGGCGATTCATACCCATGTTGGAGATCGTCCTGATGACCCTATTGTTTCTCCAACCCAACCGTGGCATGAGGAAGATGCAGACCCTGAATTTGATCATCTGCAGGATGCCAATCGAGCTGGTTTCTTCCACGTAGCCGAGCATGTTTGTCAGGATGATGACCCACGTCAGGTTGCCAAAGTTTTACTGCTCCAGCAAGACGGAACCTCAGAATGGATCCAGGACGCCAACCTTGATCGACTGGGAAGTATACCTGCCTTTCACCATCAGGGGAACACTCTTCACTTCTTCAAGGTCAATACAGAGGCATGTCAGCGCCTGTTGGGTGTCCACGTTGCGATGGCCATACAAGGGACGTATGATCCAATTCATCCCAACAAGTGGATTCTCCTGGCTGGTGGCCAAAATTTGCGACGGTGTAAAATTTGCCTAGTTCCTCGCACGCTTACACCACGACAGTGTGATGAGCTATTGGAACAGCAGTGTCACATTGCGATGCGCAACCTTGTGGCATGCAGGGGCGACGAGCCGCTGATGCTCATCAATGGTGATGTTCTGTGAAGTGACACCAGAGTTCGAGAACCCAATATACAGCACATGTCACGCAAATTATTGATCAAGCCGATCTCGTATGGCGTGACACACAGGCTGATGATAGAATGGTTCAGTTTGCTCGGGCTTGCAGGAATGCGTTCCTCATTGCTATCACTGAGTCACCGAGCAGGGCCACTGACCTCCTGCGAAGGGCTACAGGTAGGCCCTTGCCTGTCTATGACATTCGGGAGATCTTCTTTGTGGCTGACGAATGGCTTGAGATGCGCCTCAATATCTGTCGGACCCACCCTGGGTGGGCTACCAGTGATGAGATTGAGTTTGCCATGGCTTTCTTTCTGCCTGAATCTTTCTGCCCACCCGTATTGCATCATGACCTCTCGCTGATTGCAGCTGGAGTCAAGGTTCCCTACCATGAGGTGCAGCTCTTTGTGGCATTACGTGAAGGGCATTGGATTGGAATTGAAGTGGTGCGCAATGTCGCGCGGTATTTCTTCAAGTTCCTCCAAAAAACCAGTAGTTCTGGCATGACTACGCCGTGGATTACATCATACCTTTTGGATTCAGGCCAATCATCATCATCGACACCAACCGTACTCGGCCTGGCATGTGTGGCTGGGAGCTTCTCCATCGATGGGTTGTTGCAGATATACGCCTCCCTGTTGCTTTCCACGCGCCGAACCCCAAGAGGCAGATCATCGACACTGTGATTGCTGAATCAGACCAATGCTGGCGGCAAGCTGGTGCTCCACCCATGCTGCGTACCTTTGCTGAGAACATTCGACGGCTCTTCCTCCTCGTTGGTGGAGTTCATCTTTTGCAGCCGTGTTCTGCTGTCTCTTTGGGTGGGATGGAGAGTCAGGCCAGTACAGACTCTCCTATGCAAGCAGCTGATCCTTGGCAAATCGATGACCCCTGGAAAAGTAAGAAGAAGCAAGTGAAACAGAGCAAATGGGAAGATCTCCAGCTTCAAGCCGATCATCCTTTTGTTGCAAAGGACAAGACTCCGGTGCCTTTCGTCCAGAAGCAACAACTGTCAATGAATCGAGGGGGATTGCCTTTGTTTCCAAGGGGAACCTCCAACAAGCCAGGGAATTGACCCCCAAAGAGCCGTGCGCTTTGCTCTTGCCGCTCATCGATCCCACCGATCCTTTGGCTAAGCTCCCGAATCTTTCCGGTCCCTTCGAGGTGATTGTAATTGATCCTGCTCTGAACCAGGAGTATAAGAGGCAAGTACACCTTTTGGTCGTCGCGCCGGAGGTACACTTTGCCTTGCCGACACCATCGATCACGCTAACTTTGGCTGCAGTTTGTGAGATCGTTTTGGAGTGCGATGTTCGACTCACCACTAAAGACGTTTTCCAAGCCTTCTATGACAACCCTCTGGCCAAGCCCAAGGCTCAGCTGAAAGAGGTGTGCTCGGACCCAATTTGGGGTCATGCTGCTATCTACGGATACAGAGCGGTGCAGGAGCAGTCCAAGGAGAAGCACGACCTTGTCCATCAATGCTTGTTGAAGGTCCAACAGAAGCACCGTATTCCGTTGCTTTCTGCTAGTGGACATGGTGATTTGGTTGTCCGTGACTTTGTGGCCAAAGGAGAGTATCCATCATTCCTCGTTTCTGGCCTATTGACCGGCCCAACAAAGCAGATCTCATCAAAGCTGCCTCTAACATCACTGGGTATCGAGGGATTGCTGTCACCAAACAGGGTTTGGCACCACGGTTTGCCACTGATGCCCTGGCCACGGCCAGAGATCTTCTTCTACCGCAAGATGACAGGATCTGCACCATCAACAAGGCCATGGTGCCCAAGGTGAATATGGATAGTCTGGGCTGGCCGTCAGAAATCCTGGCGAAGGACATTGTCTCTGTAGTCCACCAAGCCACGAAAGTTCCATGCATTCCAACTAGGTCATTTCGACGGGCTGGAGTCTGCGCTTGGACGCTGTCTTTTGAGAAGGTGCCTTCAGTCAGTTTTCCGTCAGGGTCAATGAGAAAACCTTTGAGATTTTGCTTACACCGGTCTCCTACAAGACGCCTGTCAAAGGCAAGGGCAAAGGGGAATCGAAAGTTGCAAACACTAGCTTGCCTGACAATGCTCCCCTCTCGTGGCACTGTCTCCAAGGAGATCCACTCAGAGCGCATAGACCGGCTGGAGGAGCAGGTCGGCCGCCTGGAACAGAAGCACGAGAACTTCAGTGAGAAGGTCGACCGTCAATTCGGGCAAGTTGGAGACCAATTGCGCCAAATCCTCCAATGCGTGCAGCCACGACACCGTGAGCATGGAGAGACACCGGCCCCGGTTAAACACCATCGGGCGGCCTGACACATGCAGAA